TCACTTAACCCCAACTGCCTCACCAAAAAAAGGAAAGAAAGAAAGAAAGAAAGAAATTTTCATCTTACAGACACTGTGAGAGTCTGACAGCTGAGAAGGAGAAGACTGAAGGACCTTCCACTGTTGAGGAAAACCAAGCACTGCTGTGCTGACCAGATGCATCCCAGGCTGTGCTGCTGCTGTGGGAAGAAGGAGCTAGCACACACCTGGTGAGTGCAGTAGCAGAAGGGCAGGGACCCCGCTGGCTGTGGGTATTTGCAGGAGAGCAGAATCCCTGGTTTCAGTTCCAGGGAGGAGAGGACAACTGTAGTTTGCAGCCTCCCGAGGGACTGCAGAGAGTAAGATCATTTGTGGGGACAACATGACGGGGCTGTAAGTGTGACTTAGGAGTAAAGTAGAGAGCCCAAGACTGAGCCCCAGGACAGACCTCAGAAAATAACAGTAAGAAGGAACTAGACCCATACATCGGGTCTAGAACTTGATCACACTAATAGCTGCTAAAAATAATAATAATGTCAATAAAACCAAAAAAATGAGCAAGCAAAGGAGAAAGAAGTCAACCATAGATAGCTACTATGGGGATGGAGAAGATCTGGGTTCATATTCAGAGGGAGATACTGGAGCTAAAAAAAGTTATTCCTTTTTCAATGAGAAATGTCAAATCGTCCCAATCATAAAAAGATTTCCTGGAAGAACTTAAAAAGGACTTTAAAAATCAAATAAGAGAGATTGAGGAAAAATAAGACCAATCCAAGAAAATCAAGAAAATTATGAAAAGAAACAACCAACTTGAAATAGTAAATCAAAAAATTAAGAAAGAAAATATTCCTTGAAAACTAGAATTGGGCAAAGGGAAGCTAAGACACGAAGAAATAATAAAACAAAATCAAAATAATGAAATAATAGTCTCATAATTGTCTCATTTTGTGACAGTATTGAAACTGGACAACTAGAGTGTCAGCTTGAGTCAGGCACAAGACTGAAGACAAGGTGTTGTTTAGAAGGTTATAATAATAATCTAGACCAGAGGTTCCCAAACTTATTTGGCCTACCGTCTCCTTTAAAAAATATATATATATTACTCAGCGACCCCCTGGACATCTACTTTCTTTAACCCTTTAATTTTTTTTTTTAATTTGCAGCATTTCCAAAAAATGTGAAACACCTCATCAGAAAAACAACTGATTGGAGAGCAGATCAGAGAGAAATAATATAAGAATAGTTGGACTGCCTAAAAATTATGATTTAAAAAAAGAATCTTGATACAATATTACAAGAAATTACTGAGGAAAATTGCCCTGAAGTTCTAGAATAAGAAGGCAAAGCAGAAATAGAAAAAAATCCACCAATCACCACTGGAAAGAGATCCCTGGAGGAAAACTTACAGGAATATCGTAGCCAACTTTCAAAGCTCCCAGGTTAAGGAGAAAATACTGGAAGCAACAAGAAAAAAAAATTAATATCATGGAGCTACAATAAGGATTACACAAGACCTAGTAGCTGCTACACTGAAGGCCCCATAGGTTTTGGAATACTATATTTTGTAAAGCAAAATAGCTGAGGTTATGACCGTGGGTTTACCCAGAGAAGTTAAGTATATTCCTAAATGGAAAAAAAAGAGGATATTTAATGGACTGAAAAACTTTCAGGTATTTGTGACAAAAACAGCAGAACTGAATGGAAAATTCAAAATATAACATCCAGGAGAAATATGAAGTAAACATTAAGGACCAATTATAAGGGGTACAATAAGGTCAGATTGTTTATGTTTTTAGATATGAAAATATCAGCTTTTTTATGACTGCCATTTTTACTTGTGTAGTCTGTTTTTTTTTCTTTTTGTTTTTTTGCTAGGCAATTGGGGTTAAGTAACTTGCCCAGGGTCACACAACTAGTTAGTATCAAGTGTCTGAGATCAGATTTAAACTCAGGTTCTCCTGACTCCAGGGCTGGTGCTCTATTCACTGTGCCACCTAGCTGCCCCTTATTTGCATAGTCTGAAAGAAAGGCTTGGGTTGGGCTCAGCTGAGTATGCTGGGGTGAGTCTAAAAAAAAATAAAAGTGTAGGGAGAGATAAACAGGAGCAATTATCTCATACAAATGAGTCAAAGGAAAAAAGATACATAAGAATATAGTGGGGGGTAGGGCCCATAGTACTGAAACCCTACTCTCATCAGGAATAGGTTAAAGAGGGAACAACACATATATCTAGAAATGTATAAAAGTCTTCTAAATTCAGAAAGAAACAAGAAGGGAAGGGGATAAGGTTGGGGGGAGAAGATAAGGGAGGGATTCTTAGAGGGGTGGGTAGGTAAAGGAATAGGAGGTCAAGGTAGTGGGTAGACATAAAGTAGAGGGGAGAGGAGGGATAGGTATAGGGTGAGAAGGATAGTGAGGAAAAATAAGAAGGGGCAGTTAAGTGGGGCAGTGGCTAGAGTACCAGCCCTGAAGTCAGGAGGACCTGAGTTCAAATCCGACCTCAGACCAAACACCTTGACACTTACTAGCTATGTGACCCTGGGCAAGTCACTTAACCCCAATTGCCTTAAAAAAAAAAAAGAAAAAAGGAAAACTAGGAAGAAAGAAACTATGTAATAAGTAATTATTGTTTAGAATGTGGATGGGATGAATTTACCTATATGGTGGAAATTGATAGAAGATTAAAAATTCTAATTCAACAATATGTTGCTTTCAGGAAATTCTATAAAAATAAGAGATACACACAAACATTAAAAAAAAAAGGTCTGAAGTAGAATTTATTACATAAAAAAAACAGGAGTAGTAATCATGATTTCAGACAAAGTTAAAGCTAAAATAGATTTAATCAAAAGAGAAAAATAGAGAAACTACACTATATGTCAGCCATCCTATTGTTTTAAATTTAGAGCATTTAAAATATCTAGACAGTATAAAATACCTGAGAGTTTACCTGCCAAAATAGATACAGGAACTATACAAACATAAATATAAAACACTTTATATATAAATAAAGATCTAAATAATTGAAGTAGTATTTACTGTTCATGTGTAGGTAAAGCCCATATAATGAAAAAAAGATAATTTTACCTAACATTTATTTAGGTAATGCCATCCCAATAAAACTACTAAAAAAATTGTCTTACTGAGTTAGCAAAAAAAATAACAAAGTTCATTTGGAAGAGCAAAGGGTCAGAAATGTCAAAGTGATCAAGGGAAGAAAGAGGTAAAGGAAACAGATTCAGTAGTATTAGATCTTAAACCATATTATAAGGTGAGAGCATTGTTGATGTGTAAAATGGATAATTTTCATTATTTTAAATTAAAGTTTTCTTATGCAAATAAAACACAGCTAAAAATAGAAGGAATGCAGAAAACTGGGAAGAGGCTTCACGGACAATCTCTCAGACAGAATGCGATTGGGTTGGAATATTGCTGTGGTGTAGGAAATGAGCTGGTTGAATTAGAAAAGAATGGAGAGACTTGGTCTTACGAAGGAGGATGCTCTCCACCTTCAGAAAAACAGATGATAGGTAAGTATGGTACGGGCTTACTAAAGGTGTATGAGTGTATATGTGTGTATGATTATAAATACCTATGTACATGTGTATATATATGTGTACATGTATGTATATATGTGTTTATGTATATAGATATCCACTTAATTGTAGCCTTCTTTGGAGGGGGGAGAGGGGGAAGAAAAAAATAAAATAAAAAGTGCACAGCAGAGAACAAAAGAAAACCTACAAGGAAGCTCGATAGCTTTCAATACAATGAGTAGTATTTATTATTATAGACTTTCTTGAAATAAAAATGTATCATTTTATATCAAATTCTCTCCTATGTTCTGCTGTGTACAAGGCAATCTTATTTTTTCTTTTCTTATTTTGTATTTAAGTTTGAAATTTTAAAAATTATTAAAGATTTAAAAAAAATAAAAATAGGTACACTAATGCACTGTTGGTGGAGTTGTATACTGTTCTAATCATCCTGGAGAACAATCTGGAACTATGCTCCAAGGGTTGTAAAATTGTGCAACAAAACCCTTTGGCCCAGCAATACCACTGCTAGGTCTGTATCTGAGAGAGAGAGCAAATAAAAGGTGAAAAAACCTATTTATACAAAAATTTTTAAAACAGCTTGTTTTTGTGGTGGCAAAGAATTGGAAATTGAGGGAATGCCCATCAATTGGGTCAGCTGGGTGGTCCAATGAATAGAGTTCCAGCCCTGAAGTTGGGAAGACTCATCTTCCTGAGTTCAAAACTGGCCTCAGACACTTACTTACTAGCTGTGTGACCCTGGACAACACATTTAATTCTGTTCGTCTCAGTTCCTCATCTGTAAAATGAGCTGGAGGAAGAAAAGCAAATCTTTCCAGTATCTTTGCCAAGAAAACCCCAAGTGAGGTTACAAAGAGTTGGATATGACAGAATAACAATAGCCATCATCAATTGGGCAACAGCGAACCTCTAAGACTTATATGAACTGATGCAGAGTGAAGTGAGCAGAAAGAGAACGCTATATACACAGTAAGCAATATTGTAATAACTGTGAAAGACTTAGCTGCTCTGATCAAAACAGTGATCCAAGATAATTTCAAAGGACCCACGATGAAAAATGCTACCCACCTCCAGAGAGAAAACTGATGAACTCTGAGTACAGATTGAAGCATATTTTTTTTACTTTCTTTATGTTTCTTGCTTTTTATTTATTTCTTTTTGCAACATGGCTGATATGGAAATATATTTTGCATGACTTCACCTATATAATTGATATCATATTGCTTGCATTCCCAATGGGTAGGGGAGAATTCAGAATTTAGAACTCAGCATTTAAAAAAATGAATGTTAAAAATAAACAAAATGAAATGTTAAAAACAAATAAATAAAAATAAGCATTTGTTTGAATTATTCAAGTTGCCACCAGGTAGCAGCAAGGCCAGAATTTGAACGCAATTATCTTTTCCTGGTCGGGAGAAGACTGAATCCCTATTTTATTTAGTAGGTTACAAAGAGTCTGATTAAGGATGAGACTAAAGGATTCTGGGATACTTGGGGAGGAAGAAGGGTAGTAGGAGAACAGTTGTCTCTGGAAGCAGCCAAGACATTGCTGGTCAGAGCAGGTGGTAGGGAGTGGGGGGCAGGGAGTGGATAATGTTAATAGTCCTCTGGCTCCAGCCGGAACTAACACCCCTCCCCCCAAGCTGGCTAAGATGGTCCTTCCCTTTACCCCTGATCAATGCTCAGAATAACCTGGAGGAGTCTGCGGGCAGATGGCGGGGAAAGTGCTCTGGATGCTGCTTCTTCCAGGGCTTCTGGGTATGGAGGCAGTGGTAACAGAGCAGACACGGAAATAAAAAGATAGAGACAGAGACTGAAAGAAGGAGAGAGACAGATGGGTCCAGAGGCAGGGCCAGAAACACAGAGGGATGGAGGGAGGGAGAGAGACAGACAGAGAGACACAGAGACTGAGACATACAATTAGGTAGAGACAAATGGGAGACAGAAACAGAAATGAAAGAGTCCCAGAGAAAAAGAATCAGGGAAACAAAGAGAAAAACAGCACGAGATATAGAGTGAAACAGAGGCAGAGAAATGGCTGGTTGTAGGGAAGTGACCCAGGGCCTGTCCTCAGAAAGACCCCCGCTGTCCTGTCTTCCAGGCCTTGGATGGGGGGAGAGTGAAGAACTTCGACTTTATCACCATCTCTTCAATAACTATGACCCTAGCAGAAGGCCAGTGAGGTGGCCAGAAGAAAAAGTCTCTGTCAATTTCAAGGTCACCTTGACCAACCTCATCTCATTGGTAAGATTCAGCTTCTACCTTTTTCCTGCCCCACTTCTTAACCCCTGCCCCACCTCCCCCCAAACCCTTTATGTGACCCCAGATTCCATCTCTGATCTTCCATTAATCTCCTTCCCCTTTATTATTCCTCATCTCAATCTCTTAAGAATGAGAAACAGGAGACTCTCACCACCAGTGTTTGGATTGGAATTGTGAGTAGGGGTTTGGTGATGGGCAGAGGGTTGTGGTAGACAATGATCTTGGTGGTCCCCACCTCACACCTTTGAGGAAAACTCTAATCAATCCCATTTAAATGATATGTGGAGGAGGGGGTTGCAAGGCAGAGAATACTTTACCTCATCCTTTTTGCCCAAATCTCGCAGGACTGGAGCGATTATCGACTCAACTACAGCAGTGAGGACTTTGGGGGCATCACAACACTGAGAGTTCCTGCTAACCTTGTATGGCTCCCTGACATCGTGCTGGAGAACAAGTTAGAACAAGACACCTGAAACCCCGAAGGGACTGGGGAGGCGGCAGGACCTGAACACGGGAGTATTTAGCGGGCCGGGAGCCTGGACCCCGATCCCTTGATGGCGGTGATGGGCTTAGGGAAGAATGGTGAAGTGGGTCACAAGAGGCCCTGGAGGGTTGGGGTGCGGAGCAGTGGGGGTATGCCAGACGCTTGGGTCCCTCTGTATTGACAGCATAGACGGCGTGTTCGGAGTGGCCTACGAGGCCAATGTGCTGGTGAATGAGGGCGGCTTTGTGAGCTGGCTCCCCCCAGCCATCTACCGCAGCACCTGCGCAGTGGAAGTCACCTATTTCCCCCTTCGACTGGCAAAACTGCTCCCTAGTGTTTCGGTAGGGCCAGGGCAAGGGGTGGGGGTCTTGAAGGGGGAGAGCCCTGAGAGATTGGGGGTGGTGAGAGGGTGGGACCGGGCTAGGGTATGGACTGTAGGTACGGATCAGGGGCATGGGGAAGGGACTGACCCATTCTCCAGCACTCCCTCCTAAGGTCTCAGACGTACAGCGCTGCAGAGGTGGCAATCGTCTTCTCGGAGGAGTCTGGCCAGATTCTAAACAAAATCCAGATTGATGAGGAGGCCTATACGGGTAACAGTCCAGTAGTCGGGCTTTACAGGGATGGTGGGGAGGAAATGCTGCTGTGGAAGGGTCTCGTTTATGGGAACCAATGATGTTAATTCAAATAACTCAATCGATAAGCATTTATTAAGTGCCTCCTAAGGGCCTGGGATTGTGCTGGACCCTGGGGATGCAAGTACAAAGAATGAAAATCCCTATTTGCAAGGAGTTTACATTCTAATAGTGGAGCCAAGTACACCAATCAAGAAACATTTATTAAGTGCCTGCTATGTACCAGGCACTGTGCTAAGCTCTGGAGATACAAAAGAGGCAAAGGACAGTCCCTACCCTCAAGCAGCTTAGATTAGGTGAGACAACATACAAATATATTCGAAGCAAGGATAAATAGGAATATAGGGTATATTCTTAAATAGAAATAAGAATAATGAAAAGAGAGGAAGCCAATAGAATTAAGAGAGTATATACAGAGTGTAAAGATAACACCAATTAAAAAATAATTAAGGGGCAGCTAGGTGGCAAGGTAGAGCACCAGCCCTGGAGTCAGCAGGACCTGAGTTCAAATCCAGCCTCAGACACTTGACACTTACTAGCTGTGTGACCCTGGGCAAGTCACTTAACCCCATGCCTAGCCCTACCCCCCCCCCCCATGCAAAGTGGGTTGGGAAAGAAAAACTAAATAGAAGCCACTGGAGTTTATTGAATAGAGTTTGCTTGGTCAATCAATCAATAAATATGTGTCAGGCATTGTGCTAAGCAATATGGATACAAAGACAAAAAAGAAACAGTCCTTGCCCTCAAGCAGCTTATATTCAACAAACAGAGTAGAGGCTAAGAGCTGACAGTATTAGGAAAGTTCCTCCAGTATCAAGTTACCTTTCAGCTGAAGGAGGCTTGGGGTTCTGAAAGGCAGAGAGGAGGAGGAAGAGCATGTCAGTCATGGGCAAACAGTTGTTTGTGCATAGATTAATGATTTCATAAAGAATGGTCTTTTTGTGTTTTGTTATGTGTATAGAAATACTCTGTGCGTGTGTGTGTGTGTGTGTGTGTGTGTGTGTGTGTGTGTGTAAGTTCAGAATCTAAAAATAAGTGAAGAGCTGTAAGATGGAATGTTCTGTGTGAGGAAGGGGGAGAGAGGAAATAAGCATATAATAACTAGGTACTGTTATATAAAGTGCTAAGCACTTTATAAATATGTCATTTGGTCCTCACAACAACCCTGTGAGTTAGGTTTTGTTATTATTCTTATTTTACAGTTGAGGAGACTGAGGCAGACAGATGTTAAGTGACTTGCCCAGGGTCACACAGCTAGCATCTGAGGCTAAATTTGAACTCAGTTCTTCCTGATTCCAGGCCAAGCACTCTGTCTACTTCACCGCCGATGGATAGAGGTGTAGCTATAAGACATTTAGTCCAGTATGTAAAGGTGAATAACCTGTAATAAACCTGGAAGAAATAGGCTGGAAGCAGATAGTGAAAGATTTTAAATGCCAAACAGGTGTTTGTATTTTTTCCTTGAGGAGAGAGGGAATGCTGAAGCTTCTAGGGCATTAGAGTGACAAGGTCACTTTGGCAACTGTATGTTGAGGATGGATCGGAGGAAAGTCTTGGAGACTGGAGGCAAGAAGATCAGTGTGGAGGTTATTTCAATAGTCATACCAGGTGACTATTGCTGAGATGCTAAAGGCCTGAACTACAGTGGTGGCTTTGTGAGTAGATGAGAGATATATTCTTGAGATCTTGAGAAGGCAGAATGTACAAGACTTAGAAAGTGATTGAAAATAGGAATGAGGAAGAATGAGGAGTAAAGGATGACTCTAAGATAGTGAACTTGAGGGGCAGCTAGGTGGTGCAGTGGATAGAGCCCTTGCCTTGGAGTCAGGAGGATGTAAGTTCAAATGTTGAGCCTGGGCAAATCACTTAACTCCAATTGCCCAAGCAAAAAAAAAAAGAGAGAGTGAGATAGTGAACTTGAGTGGAGGGTACCCTTGACATAAATAGGGAAGTTAATGAAGAGGTAGGTTTTGGAGAAAAGATGAATTCTCTTTTGTATATATATAGCATCATAGCTTTAGCTCTGTAATGGAGCTTAGAGGTAATCAAATCCAATCCTAGCATTTTAAAGCAAAGGGAACTGAGGTCCTGAGGGTGACTTGCCCAAAGTCACAAGATGGCAATGCCAGGATTTGAACTTATGTGCTCTGACTTACAAATCTAGTGCTTTTTCTGCTGTACCACACTGCCTATGGGACTTCTTTTTGGAAATATCTCCCAGGTAGGTGGGGATGTGAGACTTGAGTTTAGAAGTGGGCTGGATCTGAGAGTAATCTGTTTAGAGATGACATTGAACCCACAGGAGTTGATAAGATAAATCACTGGGAGAGAGTACAGAGAAGATAGCAGTGGGTTATGGCCGATAGATTATCGAGCAGAAGAGTCTGAGGGGTAGCTAGACAGGTAGGAGGAGAAACAAGAAAGAGTGATGCCATGAAAATTCAAAGGCAAGAGACCTTCTGGAAGGAGAGGATGATTAACAATGTCAAATGCTATAGAGAGGTCAAGAAAGATAAAGATTGAGAAAAGGCCATTTGATTTGGCAGTTAAGAGAGCATAATTTTGGAGAGAACAATTTTGGTTGAGTGATGATGAAGGTTAGAAGGAAGATTATGAAGGGTTGAGAAGTGACAAAGCTGGTGGTAGTGATAGTGATGCAAAAAAAAAAGAAAAGAAAGAAAAACATTTAAAATATACAGAGGAGTCGAGGGGGAAGTTCAGAAGGAGACATGGACAAGCAGGACAGTACAGGCACTAGTGTTAAATTTCATATGCACTTTTAAAAACTATGTAATAGAAATTCAGTTTTACAATGGTAGTGGAAAACAGCATTTGTCTGGGAGTTAACTGTGCTTTTTTTGTTCACGTAAAGGAATTTTTTGTTCATAAAACAATAAACTAATAATAATTAAATTATAAATGTATGGTGATGTATTGATAATATAATAAACAAAATAAATAATAAAAATAAAAGGAGAGGAATTGGATTCATTGGGAATTTGTGAAGAAGGAATATGTATCTCTATATATTAATGTAGCTTGAAGGAATGGTAGGATCACTGAGTAGAGGGGTTAGCATTAGTGAGGAGAAAAGTCACCTGTCCACCAGAGTGGAGTAAAAGAGGAAAGAATGGGGGAGAGTGTCAAGGGGTTTTGAGAGGTAGCTTATAAGGGAGCTCACAGGGAATGAAGTTCTTTTCTCAGTAGAGGGGAGGGAGTGGGAAGAGGGGGGCTGCAAGGGAGGCTGGAGGAGAGGTTTTTAGGGGCACTTAGATAAATCAACAAACCTAAATGGCCTGCTGAGTACAGGATCTCTCCAAAACATAGACTCATTACTGGAATTCTGTTCTATAAAGCAATGCCTACAGTTTAGCAACCCAAAATTTTAAAAGCTCTATTAACACATTTCGATATCTCTTTTAGGTTTACAAAGCACTTTCTCCCCAAACCGCCCTGAAAGATTCAGAGTAATGTCATTATAACCCCCCATTTTACAGAAGAGTAAGCTGAAATTCAGAGCGATTACACTGTGTGACCTCAGGCAAAACCCTTCCCCTCTCGGGTGAAGTTGAACTAAATCTTTAAGATCCCTCCCAGCTCTGAGGCTTAATAGTTGATAGTGATTTGCCCAGGGATTACATAGCTAGGCTAAAAAGTGGTAAAACAAACTAAAACCTGCCTTCTGACTCTAAAACAAGTGCTCTTTCCACTACCTTAGGCTGCCTCTTTTGATTATCATCATTAACAACCCTGTGAGGCAAGCAGGAATTATTATTATCCCATTTTTAGTGAGTGATAGGAGACTTTTAAAAAAAATTTTTTTTAAAAATTAAAAAAATGTTTTTAGGAGACTTTCAAATCTAAATCTCCTGATTCTCAGACTGGTGCTCTCTCCACTGTTACAGATCTAGCTCTTTTGCGCTCATTTTTATGCTCTAATCCTTTCACAAGCACTAGATCTGTCTCCACCATCCCTCCACCCTCAATAAAGCTTCCAGCTCAAGGGGCCGTACGCGGGTTCAGTCTGTCTGTATTCCCTGAACCGCTACTCCTGGCATAGTCCTAAAGCATAAGTGACATAGGTGGCTACAGATGTTCAGCAAACGGGTTGGCTGACTGATCTCCCTAATCCGCAGAGAATGGCGAGTGGGCCATCGATTTCTGTTCCGGGCAGATCTGGTACCATGATGACCGCTCAGTGGATGCCCCAGGGAATATTGAGGTCATCTACACCCTCATCATTCGCAGGAAGCCCCTTTTCTACGTCATCAATATCATCGTGCCCTGCGTTCTCATCTCAGGCCTCGTGCTCTTAGTGTACTTCCTTCCCGCACAGGGTAACGGGACCAAGGGGAGGTGGCTTCATTCACAAAGCTGCACACGAATTTTCCCACTGCTGGAGACGGCCTTCTTCATTCCACTCAGTCATAGCTTAAGGCTAGCCCCAGCAGCCCTGGCGTATGGAGACAGGGTGGGGCGGCGTAGTCGGGAGGGGTGTGTGTGTGTGTGTGTGTGTGTGTGTGTGTGTGTGTGTGTGTGTGTGTGTGTGTGTGTGTGCGTGCGCGCGCGCGTGTGTGTTTGGGGTAGGGGTGGGAGGGAGAAGCAAAACCAGAACTCACACCGCAACCCTTTTCAGCTGGTGGGCAGAAGTGCACGGTCTCCATCTCGGTCCTCCTAGCCCAGACTGTTTTCCTGTTCCTCATGGCAACCAAAATCCCAGAGACTTCTCTGAGCGTCCCTCTGTTGGGGAGGTAAGTGGGGCAAGAGTCTGGATCTGAGCCTAGGGAATGGGGCCAGGAGGAAGGGACAGAGATCAACGGAAAGGGAGAGGGGGACGGGAAGTGAAAAGATGAGCCAAGAGGAAAGCTGGGAGAACAGTTGTCTCCGGGTGGGCGAGAAAATTGAGTCTGTAGGAAAGGGGGCGGAGTCAGGGAGCGGGAAAGGCGCTAGAGAAAAGTGTAAAAACTTGGTTTTCTTCACTGCTTTATTTGGGCTGGTGGTAAGTCAACAGTTCCCCAGATACCTTTCATCACCTCTGTTTCATCTCGAGTCCTCTGCAGTGTTCCTGTTAAAGGAGTGGCTAACTGAGTATCTCCAACTGATCCACGGTCCCTCGATTTGGGGAGTAATCCCCCTCCTCCCGCTTTATTCTTGCTTCCACCTTGCTCTCAAAGTTTCTTCTCACCCACATCCCCACATGCAGGCCCCGCAGTCAAATCTTAACTCACACGTTTTCCGCTGCCCAGCCCAATGCGCCAGGGCCATAGGAGCGAAGCTGTCTTCCTGGGGCAGCGTGAATTCCCGTAAATATCAAGCCTACTGGCAGACAGAACCGTGCCCCACGGAGGAGTAGCTGTGTGCTAGCTTTGGCCGTGGCTCCCGCCTCTCTCACGCCCCGCCCTGCAGCCCACGCCACTCGGGACAATGCGTGCCCAGGGTTCCCCGAGCTCAGATTGTGGACGTGGTCGCTGCAGCCACAGAGGCGCCGAGTTTCCAGCTGTAGCCATAGGACCGAGATCTGAGAATCAGGGCAGGGAATACAGTAAATTCCCAGGGTACCCTACACATAGCCCCCCAGGGTCAGTCTTCTTGCTGACAAGACAACCCTTCCTTTTCCTCCTCACACCTCACCTGCAACAAGGTGGTTCCAAAGCTCAAGGCACTTCCCATAGCCTCTCTCAGCACCAGCCCCAGGGAGGGTTCTGGAGAGGCTGAGGAGCTGTGTGACTCTAGCTTCACTCCTTCCCCTTTGGGCAGCTCCCCTTCCTCCCTATCCTGGTCCCAAGGCCCTAAAGGTCTCATCTTCTCCAGCCCGAACTCCAGATATTCATGGGCTGCAGCCAGGGCCAACTCCAGGGAGCATAGAAGTGAGGGCCGGAGGTCCACCTGGTGTCGGGATGAGAGAAGTCACCAAGAATGTCTTTGGTGGAAGGGGAGTTAAAGAGTCATCAGAGGGTTGATTTCAGAATTGAGGGCCACCCGCAGATTATAAAGTCATTCCAAAGTCAGAACACGCTAATCACTAAATAAATCCTAAAACAGAAATGTTAGAGTTGGAAGGAATCTTAGTCATCATCTCCATCCACACCCTTCATTTGCCTGAAGAGTTTGCTGCTGGGCTTGGATGAATGGGCTTTAGGAAAAGAGGGATGTCACTGCGATGTGAACTCTAGTTAGAAGTTCACTAGCAGACTGGGGAGAGGAACTTGGGGGCCGAGGAAGAAGCAAGGCAATGGAAGGGTCAAAGAAAGACCATGGGAGCCCAAAGAGGACAGAGAACAATTGGGCTCACTGGTGGGCCCTCACCTCCGTGGAATTGTGGTAGCAATAGACCCATAGCAGAGCATCGAAGGAACCCGAGGACCCCTTCATAGATGAAGCCGTTCCTCTAAGGTAGGGTCAGAATGTGGGGCAATTACGTGACTCTCATGTGGGAGGAGCTGGATGGGGAGGGAAAAGGCTTCCAGCTCCTTAAGGAATACAACTTCAGGGCTGTAACGTCATATCCTATCCCGAAACACAAATACTGACTGCATTGTGAGGGAGGAAAGAGGGCAGGAGACGGTGTTGGTGACGTAGAGCTGTCCCAGCTGGCAAGTGCCTTTTGGAAACGTTGGTTTGAGTTTTCGGCGTCGAGGTGGCAAAAGTGGGATTATAATTTAACTGGTCGAGATTGTGAGGTCCTTTTCGGATTGAGGGAGTTGTAACGCTTCTTCCCTCCCTCTCCTTGTCTTGGGTTGGAGACAAAATGGATGAGGACACTAGCCACCCCGTCTCCCTTATCTCAGGTATCTAATTTTCGTCATGGTGGTAGCCGCACTGATTGTCATGAATTGCGTCATCGTGCTCAACGTGTCCCTAAGGACGCCCAACACTCATGTTATGTCCCCTCGGTTGCGTTATGTAAGCCTTTGGGGGTGATGGGGCATGTATATATAGCTGTGTGTAGCGAGTCGGGTTAGGAGTAAAAGATGGGACGGATTGCAGAAATTAAGCGGATTTCCTATCCCCCAGGTTTTCTTAGAGCTGTTGCCAGGTCTTTTGGGTTCTATTCCACCTCCACCGGCGCCAGGAGCGGGTTCTTCCCAACGTAGAGCTTCCTCCCTGGGAATTCTGCTCCGTGCTGAGGAACTGATCCTGAGAAAGCCCCGGAGTGAGCTGCTATTTGAAGGGCAGAGACATCGGCATGGGCCAGGGCCAGGTGACTGGGTCATTAGAGGTCGAGGGATGTGGGAGGAGGAGGTTTGAGTCTGGAGGATCCGAAATAGCCCCTTTTCCTCCCTCTCTCAGCTGCCTCCACTGCCGCATTGTGTCAGAGCCTGGGAGCTGCTGCATCAGAGATTCGTTGCTGTGTAGACGCGGTGAACTTCTTAGCGGAAAGCATGCGGGAGCAGGAAGACTCTGGGGAGGTAGGGAAGGTTTAGGACCAAGTCAAAAAGCATTTATTAAGGGTCTGCTATGGGCCAGGCACTGTGCTAAGCACTAGGGATACGAAGACAGTAAGGCAGAGGTAGAACTTCCAAAGACCTCACAGTTTAAAGGGAGAGACAACATGCAAACGACCATGTACAAACAAGACATAGGCTAAATTGGAGAGAATACTGAGGGAAGGCACTAGCATTATGGGCGTTAGCAAAAGCTTCTTGCAGAAGATGTCACTTTAGCTTGAAGGAAGCCAGAAATGAGGAGAGAGATCCAGACATGAGGGACAGCAAGAAAAAAATGCCTAGAGATGGAGTGGCTAGTGGGATGAACAGTAGGAAGGCTAGAGTCAGTGGTGCGCTTTGAGCTTTGCTGGGTTATGTGGCTGAGTCTGTGTGCTTAGGAAGACCAGACTCAGTGCCTGTTACCCCTTCTTCAGGAAGTTTCCAGCTGGGTCCTCGTGGGAAAGGCCTTGGACAACCTCTGCTTCTGGGCAGCCCTGGTGCTCTTTGGGTTTGGCACAGGCCTCATCTTTCTTGGGGGTCATCTGAACAGAGTGCCCGACCTGCCCTTCCCTCCTTGTATGTAGACTTCCCTTTTGACCAGGAGGCACATAACCCTAAGACTCAACTTCCACTCTGGATGGGTCTCCATCTTGACCTTTGCTGGCTAGTCCCACCATGAAATAAAACCTTCAGTGGGGGAGAAAATTTGGAACTCAAAATCTTGTGGAAGTGAATGTTGAAAACTAAAAGTAAATTTTTAAAAAAACCCTTCAGTGACCATAGTCACTAAGGCTCAAGTGAAAAGGAGGCCGCCTACATTTCACTTCCCCCTCCCCCAAACCTTTTCTTGGACTTCTAGATTTGTGCTGACCCCAGTCTCCTTTATTTACTTGTTTTTGTTTCATAGACATGACTCACACTAAGGCCTCTTTCCTCTTCTATGCTATAAGGACCTCAGCAGCCCCCTGCCCCATAAGAGAAGCAGCCCTGGCTCCTCCAGCCCCTGGTCTCCCACCAAATCCCCTGAATCATGACCAAAGTAAGGCCATTTAGCCTGTATTAAAGTCTCTTTTCCCAGCGAATAGGAGTTTGAACATTAACTAGCCTACCAATTTCCCAGGCATTTCCTCTCTCCTCTCCCTCCAGAATCAACACCAACAATAATAATAAGCTAGCACTTTGCATGTTAGCTCATATGAGCCTCAAAACTCAATGAAATAGGTACTATTATCTCCATTTTAAAGATGAAGAAACAGAGGTACAGAGAGGTTATGTGACTTGTCCCAGGGCACACAGGTAGTGTGTGTCTGAGGCAGAATCTGAAGTAAGGTCTTAACTGATTCTACACACCATCCACTGAAGCGTCTAACCCTGACCTGAACACCAAGCCTAGGTTCCCAGTTCCCCTCACCTCAACCAAAAATATCCCATCTTGCTTGACCCAGACAACCCTACAAAACCCACTATGTGTGCATTACTGGTGCACAGGACAGACAGTGGACCTGACCTGTTTCCATCTTCCTTGACTGCCCCCCCCATCTCATATTCCTCCTCAATAAAGCTTGCTTCTGCTAACTCCCCTACCGAATAAACAGTGTTTTGTCTTGTGATGTTGAATCTCTTAGCCATGTCTCTTCCTCTTGGACAACAAACAGCAGTGAGATGGGAAGCCCTGTCCTTTTTCTACCTGGCTATGAGGCCCATCTGGTCTGATATATGGTTAGCAAAGCTTAGAGGCAGGGAAAAGCAGAGTAATCAGAGCCCTCCTAGGAGAAATTAAAGAATTATGGGTACATCCCCCCTCTCTGTGGCTGTCTTCTTCCCTCAACTCTGACACATCGCAATCCCATACAAATATTCCTGGCTTCTGTTCACTTGATTCATTCATCTTAGAGTCTATTCTAATCACTGCCTCTTTATTATTGAGCTAATTATTGAACACATATATCTTTGTAATTGTAATTCTAATGTTGGTTTCCCTGAGTAAAAAAGCAATGGGAATAGGAGAAGCTGGTTGAATTCTGTCTTTATTAACAAATGAGGTTTCCAAGGCCACTACATTGAGATTGGGGGCAGTGAATAAGGTGAAGGGGGCTACTTGCTGCTCACACTATATACAAATGCAAGCAAGGTGGGGATGGTGGGTTAGATGAGAGCAGTAGCCAGCCCCATGCCCCCCCCCCATCAAGGAAGAGCATTGGAGGAGAGGAAAGAAGGGATAATATTGGAAAGGGGGAGGAATATTTTGGCTGACAGCCCCCCTCCCCATTCCCTAGAGGGGGGGGAGATGATTAAAGTGCTTTCAGAGAGTGATGGGGAAATGGTCCTCATGGACCATCTCCCCCCTTCCCCTGGAGTGACTGGTGACCCCCATCTCTATGCCACCCCCCCAGGGTCTGGTACATTCATTGGGGGAGTCAGTCCCCCTGGCGTGCAAAAAAAGGGGCCCTGGGACTCTGCCCTAGACAGTAGCAGCAGAATGAAGGGAGGCATCCCCAAGCACTTTCCTCTTTGGTGGGGGAGAAACAGGGGGGAAAGGGGCTGGTTCCCAAATAATTTCTGGTGGGAGGGAGCTGTACCTCTACCCACAGGTGGGGGGTGGGCAGGCACAGTTTTTTTAGAGAAAACATTTTGAGAGAGCAGGAAAAGGGAGGTCACGGGATCACAAAAAGCTTCAGGGGTCATAGGTCACGTTCCCAGCAGGCTCCAGTGAATCAAACTAAAAAAAGCAAAAGCCCAGGGAGGGTAGGGAGGGAGAGGCCTGGGAAGCCTGGCTTTTTGTTGTTGTTGGGGGCGAGGGGGGTGAGATGTAGGTTATACGTCCAGTGTGGATATATACCCTCACCTACCCCTAACTCAGCCTGGGGTCCCCATCACCAGTTCATGATGCAGTTACGGTTCAGAGTCATGAAGTAAACTTGGCTGCTACCTCCAGAGCGAACTGAGGCAAAGAACACCTGCAGGTTAGGGAAATAATGGGAATGGATGGATTAGGGATGGTAGTGGTTGTATGTGCTGTTGAAGTCTAGAAGGAACAGGGCTCCCTGTGAGGTGAGAGGGTCTCTTCTTCCTAGTGGTATGTGTGGAAGAGAATCATCTGGGTTTACAAAGGGGAGCCAGAGGAGAGTGGGGTGGGGCTAAAGCTCTCTCTGGGTGGTACTTGGCAGGCTGCCAGAGCTGAAATCACTGAAGAAGTGACCCATCTCTGGAACTTCAATTCCCTCACCTTTAGCTCTGTTTTCCCTAGAAGGACTGACCAGAGGCCTCGTGGGACGTTATTCTATCATGCAGGGAAAAGAAGGTGGTCAGTGGCATTTGTGGAGGTGACAAGAGGTCTATGAAACTCCCACCTTGTCATTCCTCTCACACAGGAATTTGAGTCTCTGTGCTCGCTTGTGCATGAAGACTCCATCCAAGTGCCCTGTTTCCACGGAGCGGATCTCAATGGCCTTCTCACCCCAGCCCATGATTTGGTTGGAGCAGATGTAGGCTTCCAGGGAGGAAAGAGAATGTTAAAGACAATGGAGTGGCCTGGTTCTATTTTACAATACAAACCCTTCTATCTAGGGCATCCCACCCCCATCCCTATTTCCCTTGGATGTTTTAGAAATGGAAACTTCTAGGGAAAAGTCATGTAGCTCCTAGGGAGAGAAAAAGAGGGAATGGGAGCTGAAGACTGGGCTGAGCTCTGAGAACAACCTGAAGGGTGGGATGACTTTGGGGCAGGGTCTGAGAAGCTCACCTACAGAGGTAGGCATCTCTCCCCACTGCAACACCACATCCTTGATGATCCGGCCATAGGTATTAACATACACACCCTCATCCTCATAGCAAAGAAGCATCTCCATGCCTTCAGCATTTGGAAGGAAGATGATGGCATGAGGGGTTATCTGGCTCTGGATCTATAGGGGATTGAGAAGAAGTAATTAAATCCAAACACTAACTCTGCTTCCTCCTCAGGCCCCTATACCCCTTAAAGACTTAGCAACTTTCCCCATGAGCTCACATGCACTGGGATGTAGATATCGTAGCTGTTCCCTGAGTCCACATCAACAGCATGGAAGCCAGCACTAGAGCCATAGATGACCTTGAGCCGCTGCCCCTCCTCCACCGTCAGGTCAACCAGCAGTGGCCGGTGAGGGAGGTCAGCAAAGGACTGAAGGGGACAGGGCAATTCAGGGCAAGGAGTGGATATGGGATGGGTAAGGGGCCGGGGCTGGGAAGATGTGGAGAGGATGAAATGGGCCTGGGGCTAAGAGGCAAGAGGAATGGGAGTGGACAGTTGAGAACAAGATTGAGGTGCTGGAGATGGGGAGTATGGGGAGTAGAAGGGAACAGTAAAAGCCCTGTAAAAGAAAAATTGGGGAGGGAGTGGGGGATTCAGAGTGAGAATATGGGACTTGGGGGAACAGAAGGGATGTGGCTGGTAGGTGTTACCTTGAAAGCCATGAATTTATGGTAGGGCTTGGGGGCCCAAGCATACACCTCCACTGAGTTCTTCAGGGCAATTACCAGGAACTTAATGCGTTCGTATTTCACTGAGGAAAGTGGGGTGGGGGTGTTGTATGAGAAGGGAACAGTCAGGTGAATACACACCTTTATAACTGCCTTCCCAAGTCTTCAAATGTTTCCCCAGTGTTTCTGCTTCAAGCCCTCCGAGATCTTGAGCATAGAGTGAAATGCTCATCATGTGTTAGGTAGTGTTCACCCCCCCCCCCCGTATTCCATCCCTCCGATAGGACAGTGTTTACTTCCTGTGTCCCCCTCCCTTTTATCTTCCCACTGCTGACATGATACCAATCCTCCCTTTGCTCTCCCTTACAATGCCCAGTGAAATTTCCCTCTCACCAACTCGGTAGTGCCCACAGCCCTCCATGTCCCCCACAGTAGTCCATCCCTGTTTCTTCTCCACCTCTGGGTCATTGTGTAAGATCTTGTTCCGGAGCCAGGATAGATAGTAAACACGAAGCTTATTCCTTTTCCCTGGTGGTGGTATATGAAATACACCCTTTTTAGAAGCCCAACTCCTTCCCCTGCCCCCATCTATGCCAATGTTACTGCACTTGATGAATTCACTCCACTTCCTTCTGCCCCCACCCCTACAACCTTCCTCCCTCCCATCGTTTGCCAGTATCAGGATTTGATGAGTGGGTTTAATTCTTTCTTTAGCTCAAATCCACAGTACTTAAGATGGTGGAAGTTGATTCCTTCTAACTTCTAGCCCTTTCTCCCAGTTGTCTCTCCATTTTACCTACTCTTTAAATACCTGAGATGGTGATGAGCAGGTTAAGTCCTTCCAGGACATCCATTTGCTGGAAACGTCTCCGTCCGATGAGCCCGTACACTTTCCCCTGCCCACTTCGATCCAGCAACATCAATCCGTTCTCTGTGCCTACCAGCAGGTTCACACCTGAAGCACAAAGCCTCATATCACCCAGTGAGAGGGGAAGGGTGTCTTTCTTCCCTTCAACTTCTAATTTAGGACCAATAGCCCAGGAATCACATTCTCCCTTCCTCCTGGCAAACCTAATTAAGGAGGCAAAGACATCATTATTTGGGGCTTATTTATCTACTCCGCTAATAAATGAACCTATTTCACCTCCCTCCCAGGGATATATAGATTTCCCTAGCTTAGGTCTAGCATCTTCTGTTCTCCCAGTTATACTTACCCCACAGGGCAGCACAGAGGATCTCTGAGTTAAATCGTTTCTTATACTTTCGAATTTCAGGGGTGTCACTGTGGGGCCGAGTATTAGTGGGGTTCACATTGACCACAGAGCCTTTTCGAACCTCATACTGCAACTGCTCCAGCCGCCCACCCTCTCTACCCACCAGGGCTGCAGAGAGACAAGAAATTGGTAAGGACCCCAAATAGGACCACAGATTTAAATAGACCTGAAAGGATTTTAGGTCTACTAAATTTAGCTACTACAACCTTCTAATTTTACAGATGAGGAAAAAAAAAGGGGGAAGCTGCTTTTCCCACTATATCTTACTCCATCCCTAAAGATCTGTTCTAGACCCAATCATTTATCTCCATCACTAAATTGCCAAATCCAATGACCTTTTTCTCAATTTGCATCTTTCTCAACCTATTTCATCTGACAATGCTGACCATCAAGATATTCTCTCCTCTATGGGTTTGCATGACAACAACTCTACTTGTCTGATGACTCCTTGTTAAACTCCTTTGCTAGTTCATCACCATCCCTTAACTGTTGATATTCCTCAAGGTCCTGTCCTAGCCCCTTTTCTCTTCTCTTTCTACATTCTTTCTCCTGGTAACCATGTCAGCTCCCATGGTTTTAACCCCAAGTCTTTACCATGAGTCCTATGTCACCAATAGTCTATTGGACATTTCAAACTGGAGATCCCAGAAATATCTCAAATTCAACATATCACAAAATGAATTCACAGTCTTCCCTAAACCCTCCCACTTCCCCATTTCTGTAGATGGTACCACCATCTTTCTAGTGTCCCAGGATAAATTTATCCAAAAGCCTTCTCTTGACACTGATAAAAATGCTTCAGGATGAAAGAATGATGATTGGGATAAGAAAAATGGTCCCTTCTCTCCTTTACTAGTCTCCCTATCTCCTAGAATAATGTCTACATTGTCTTCCCAATGTCTCAGGATAGTTTCTCCTCAGGGTGGCACAGTGGATAGAGTGTGCTGGGCCTAGAGTCAGGAAGATTCACCTTCCTGAGTTCAAATCTGGCCTCAGACATTTACTAGCTGTGTGACCATGGGCAAGTCGTTTAATCCTGTTTGCCTCAGTTTCCCCATCTGTCAAATGAGCTGGAGAAGGAAATGGCAAACCATTCTAGCATCTTTGCCAAGAAGACTCCAACTGGGGTAATGAAGGGTTGGACACAACGGAAGAACGACTGAACAACAAGAACAACAGTATTTCTCCCCAGGAATGGTAATGATGCTCTTGTTTTCCTCACCTGTAATAGGGATAGTGTCCCCACTGCCTCCTGGCTGGTAAATTCCTAGATCCACAAACATAGTGAAGGAGCTCTTGCCTGGGGCCTTCACCAGGCCACGAGATTGGTACTGTGGATACAGGATGATGTGGGCAGAGTTGAACAAGCAAGAATTTAACTTCTACAGACTTCTACTCAGGATTTCTACCATAGCATTCTATATTCCTTATCAAATGGCCCCCCTTCCCCAGATCTGGATTTCTCAAAGTTTCTCTCCCATTCCAGAATTTCTCTCACCCCTTTCTATGGCATTTACTCCAAAATACCCTTTTCTCTCCTTGGACCCTCCATAATCCCTCTTCCCTGTTGCACATACATCACTGCTTCCATCTTTAGCTGGGGAGCCCTGGCCTTTGCCACTCTCAGTGGGTGAATGGCTGGGCTGGACCACATCAGGCAGGTTAGTGTAGCCATTGCTGTCGCTGTGTAGTAGTCCTCGCTCCTCCTCAGGAGTCTGTAGGAAGGAGGAGAGAGGTCAGTGCCAGCTTGGCCAGGAAGTGAATTGGGTAAGCACTGGGTAGGAGGAGAACTCACCCGCTGGACCACCATGGTACCTCCTCCATAGGGGGTCTGGGTCCCAGACAATTCTTCAACATCATGGACAACCATGGTGCTGATACTATCAGTGTCTCCATCACTGTTGGGGAAAAGCAGTGAAGTCAAAGGTGTCCACTTTAGTCTACCCATCTCACAAGTTCTTTCTGAAAGAAGCATTTTGCATTTAAAATCCCAACATCATTCATACTACAAATACTGAGTGACAATGAATGCAGGCTATAAACAGACTTCCATTATTATTATTATATTTCCATATTATATAAATATGGCTCTGTCAAAAACTCCTAAATCTGTCTCTACCCCTAACCTTTACTGCAAGGCTCATATAAAGTATGTGCTCAATATCTCCACCTGGAGGTAGAAACACTAATAATTCAGTAATGTTTCACATTAAATTCTCCACCCTTTCATGCCCCTCTTTTCTATTTCTGTTGACGGTCCCAGTTATCTAAACTCCTAACCTCACTGTCATCTTTAACAATTCTCTTGCCCTTACCCCACATAATCGGTTTATAAATTCTATTGATTTTATTTTTGAAATATTTGTCACTCAAAATAATCAAAACCAAAAGCAGTGAAATCATGACTGAGCTTGGTCCCAAAGGAGAGACAGGAGAATATCTTTCTCTCCCGTCTTTGCTGAAGTGGGGAACTACAGGTGTGAAACACTACATATAATATTGGACTTGGATGATATGTTGGTAATTTTTGCTGAACTATTTTTAAAGTATTTTTAATTTTTTGTTATAAGGCACGATCTTCTGGAAGGGAGAGGGAAACACTGAAAAATATGGTTAATGTAAAAACAAAAAAGGTCAACAGCAATTTTTCTAAAAGTGTCTCTCACATTTTTCTCCTTTCTACTCCCATTTTAACTACCTCTGCTCAGGCTTCATACCTAACCTATATCATTACAGCCTCCTCACTGTTGTTCCTGTCTCCAGCTCTATCTTCTACACTCTATCCTGCACACGACCACCTAAGTTATCTTTCTAACTCACTTCTCTGATCATGGCACTAATTCAAAATCCGCTCTCACTGCCTAATTAATAAAGTACAAGCTCCTGGTTCTGGCTTTGAAGTCCCTTGTATAATTTGGATCTAATCTAGCTTTCAGCCTTATCTCATGTTACTCTTGGGACTCCTACATTCTACCATTTTCACAGCTTAGTCTCTGTGATCCTCTCTACTTGGAATGGATTCCTTTCTGCCCCTCTTCCATCTCTGTGGAAATAAGTCTCACTCCCTCTTCCTTTCTTCCAGACATACCTAATCTCTTTGCAAGGGTCCTCGCTTCCATCCCTTCCTGTCTTCCCATCTTCTCCAGAAAACTGAATCATTACTCATCTTTTTCTCTCTCATCCCTAACTACTGGTACTCTCCCTACTACCTCAAAGAAGCTCAAATCTCCTCCATCCTTAAAAACCTTTACTAGACCCTACGATACCATCCAATGTCTTTCCTCCCTTTCTCAGTCAAACTTCTAGAAAAAGCTGTCTATATTTGGGACCTCCAGTTATATGTCTCTCACTTAGCAATTCTCAACCTAGCTTTTAGCTTCATCAACAGAAATTGCTGTCTCTGAAGTTACCAACTATCTTTAAATTGCCAAACCCCTCGACCTTTTTCTCAATTCTCATCTTTCTCAACCTGTTTCATCTGACAATGCTGACCATCAAGATATTCTCTCCTCTATGGGTTTGCATGACAACAACTCTACTTGTCTGATGACTCCTTGTTAAACTCCTTTGCTAGCTCATCACCATCCCTTAACTGTTGATATTCCTCAAGGTCCTGTCCTAGCCCCTTTTCTCTTCTCTTTCTACATTCTTTCTCCTGGTAACCATGTCAGCTCCCATGGTTTTAACCCCAAGTCTTTACCATGAGTCCTATGTCACCAATAGTCTATTGGACATTTCAAACTGGAGATCCCAGAAATATCTCAAATTCAACATATCACAAAATGAATTTACAGTCTTCCCTAAATCCTCCCACTTCCCTATTTCTGTAAATGGTACCACCATCTTTCTAGTCTCCCAAGTTTTATACCTTAGCATTATCCTGGACTCCTCTCTCTCTCTCCCCCCACATATATCCAAACAATTGCCAAATCTTGCCATTTCTACCTTCACAACATTTCTTTCATCTTCTTCCTCTTCATTCACAGAGCTACCACCTCAGTTCAGGCCCTCATCACTCCTCAACTAGATTATTACAACAGCCTCCTTAATTGGCTCCCTCCCTAAGATCCCTCACCATGCTACTGCCAAAGTAATTTTCCTAAAGTGTAGATCTGATCACGTGACTATCCTGATTCCTATTTTGCCTTTAGCATAAAACATAACCCCCCTGTCTAGCTTTTAAAGCTCTACATAACCTGGCCCCAACCTATCTTTCCAGCTTCCCTGGACATCAACCCCCTCTTCTGTATTCTGGGACTCTGGGTTCAAGCCTCTTTGTTGTACACAACCTTTCATCTCCTGCTTCAGTGCCTCTGCACTGGCAGACCCTGAAATGCTCTCCCTCCTTACCCTTTGCCCTATAGATCCCCTCTTTTTGTCTCAGAACCAGTATGTTCCCCACCACTCAGAGTAAAAGTGACCCTTCCTTCCTCAGGTTTTTTTTTGCAGCATTCTGAACTATTCTTTGCACATATCTTATCACAATTATTTGGGGGTACATGTCTTCCTCACCCCCAACATACACAATTACATTGTAAGCTTGAAAGCATGACCTGTGTCATATCTAGTTTTATATCCCTACCACAAAATAAAGCACATTGCAAAAAGTAGGCACTAATAAATGTTTGTTGAGTGTGAAGAGAAAAGATATCCACAAATAATTACAATTCAGGACAAGGTGTGATAAGGATCATATGAAAAGATACTTAACTGTGAAAAGTCATTCAAAGGAAGTAATTAGCTGATTTCCAAGGCAATGGTCATCACTCCTTCAAACTGAGAAAAATCATCCCTTTTCCAAAACCCTTATACCCTTGTTCTTCCCCAACACAGCTATATAAGGTTTCCTTCCCAATTCTTCCATAATTATTTCTGATTCTATATAGTTGCCCTCCCTACAGTCACCCACTCCTGTACCGAATTCCAGGAGTGTCCCTGCTCTCCTCAGAGTGCTCCCCATCTCCTTCCTCTTCATCATCATCACTGCTCTCCACCTCCTCACTAGAAGATGAGTAGTCCATGGCTTTCTTGGGAGGCCGGGGGGCCTCATCTGCCATTCGCTCCTTTAGCAGCACAAAGTCCTTAATTGGAGAAAAGAGGAGGATTCAAGGAGGCTGGGCAGGGGGTGCTAGTCCTCAAGATTAGAAGGGTACTAAAGCGGGAAATGGGTTCCACACCCCTGCCCACAATATGTCTCTTGCACTAACCTCGCCGATTGCCCGCTTATAGCTCTGAGGGGAATCCCAGAGGAAGAAAGGCAGCCAGAAGTAGGAGAGAGAGATTAAAAGAGGTTAGTACTGTAGGAAAAGCCCTCTGACTACCAGTTCCAGTTCTGGTCCCCCCACTTCAATCCTATAGGCTCCCACCCCTGCTTCTGCCCCTAGAGTTACTACCTCCCAAGAGGGGTTCAGCAGATCTCATATTGCACTCCTCAAACCCTGTGGCTGGGAGAGCAGCATGTGCCAATGAGATTACTCACTGCAGGCCGGCCAGGCCTAGAGCGATGGTCATCAGGTCTGACTTTGTTCCCTGGGGACAGGATGGGAGAATTGTCCAGCTTGGAGGATGCTGGAGATGGGGGTAGGCAGGAAGGAGAGAGTGATGATGGGAATAGGGATAACTACTCTGTATTCCATTACTCCATGCTGACTCTTAATCCTCCCTGCTAAAGCTGCAACAGGCTCTCAAGTACTCTCCCCCCTCTTACCACAATCTTTCCCAGCCCCATGGAGGGTAACATAGATCCTATTTCCCATAGCTATCCATGTATTGGTCTCAGCCTAGAAAATTACTTATTGTAGGGCCTAAGTCTTTACTACATGTTATCTACATAAAAGCTTGACAACAATGGAGAAGATGGCTATGATTTTTAATTTCCTTGATGGTCATCTGGTTAGCTTATACTTTATTCCCACAATGATCCCTCCCTTCTTTCCCCTCCATCAACTCTTTTTGGTTTAGGGGCCTCACCTCCTACTCGGTTTCGCTCTAGTGAGCCAGCCTGTGGCAGGTGGCCATGGGACTGAAGGATGCTATCTCCACGTTCCCAGCCTGGCTCACTCCTTCGAAGGTCTGGGTTACTGTGACAGATATATGGGTTAGGAGAGGAGGGACTAAGTCAATCTTCCCTTATCTCAGTTTGTAGAATTAGCACAGTTTAGGGAACCAGCACCATGGTGGGGTGATCATTACCATGTAGGGAGGGGTGAGGGGGTGACAACTCCATTACCTATTGGTGCTGGGTGGGCTGGGGGGTTGAGTAGGGGGCCCTGGAGGCCCAGGGGTCACCCACTCTGCCTGAGTTTGCAGGTAGGTTTGCCAGGCGGAGTTGCTTCGAGGTCTGTGAAGGGAGCACAGGAGTGGCTGGGGGTGGGGGGGAGGCTGGGATGGTTAGGCTTGGGCTCCTCCACCCCCAAGTGGGAGATAGCATGTCCTCTATATCCCATCCCCTAGCCCATTTCAGCATGGCCATTACCTGGCACAGACAGGTTGTGCTGGCCGGGAACCTCCAGCTCCACTGGTGTTAAGGGCAACAGCAATGGATGAGGTCCTCTGGGGAACCTGAAGAATGGTAAGAAGTGTCAGAGGCAGCACAGGAAAGGAAGGAGGGGACAGAGGCTGCACTGAATGAATCTGTATATAACCTTCCTTAGGACCTCTCTTCCACCTTCCATTTTTATTTTTTTCCTTCCCTGTACTCTTTCTTGCTTACTTCTCATCTCTCCCACTCTTCTCTTCTTGCCATTCCTTTATTGCTTTCCCTGGAAAAGAGTGCCGGATTGGCTTCAAGGCTACACTTACCTTAGGTGGGGTCTCACTGTCTGCTCGATTCCAAGGTGGGGGGGCTGGTGTGGGGCCAGGACTCTCAGAGGTAGGGTCTGAATTTTGTCGGATGATGGCTCCACGAGAGGCGGGAGTAGCAGTGGGTGGGGGGGCAGTGGGGTCGGGGTCATGAGCAGCAGGGAAGGCAGCCAGGTTTCTGGTGGGTTGATCTTGTAGGGATTGAGAACGGGGCACAGGTGCTGCATATGGCTTCAGTGGGACCCGATGTGCAACAAGGCTCTGCAGGAAAAGAAACCTTTGTGGTTTATCCACACTCTCCACCCAGCCAAGAAAGGAAGGAGCAGTGAGCCTGGGGCAGGAGCTCTGGCTTCTATCTAGAGTATCTTCCTCCTTCCTCCTCCTCCCTTACCCTCTAAATTACCCTCCTGATAGTTTGGGCCTCTAGGTATTTATTATTTGTGAGAAAATGGCAGAAGCAGAAAAAGAAACACACAGAAACAGCCGTGAGTTTTGATGTATATCTGTAGGTATATCTGAATAAGTCTCCTTATGCACTTACTAGCATCTGAAGGTATCTGTAAGAGTAAACTATATCTTGTGTACTTGTGTGTGTGTGTGTGTGTGTGTGTAGGGGAAAGTAAAGACTTACTTTGTGTGGTCCTTCCTGGGGCTCCACAGGCCTCTGCATAGGTGGGGTTGGGGAAAGGGGTCCAGAAGGCCCAACAGGGGCTTGTGGGGGACTGGGATCTGGTCCTGTGCTGTTTGGCTTAGACTTGGCCAGGGGTGAATTCTGTTGTTTGTTCATTCTTGTCCTCTCCTCTACCTGTGAAGAGGTGGGTAGGGGCAGGTGTCAAAATAAAATCTCTGTTTCTACTTCCCCCCTTTCTCCCTTTGGTTACAGAACCCCAGCCCTCCCCTCCTCATCCCACCCCCCAATAATTATATCCCTTTTCTTTAGTTCTTGGCTCCTTTTCCACAACTCCCTCAGTCCTTTCATCAAACTCCAAGGACAAGGACCAGACTCCAAGTCTTAGGGAGCAGCAGATAAGACCCTATGGGGTGACTGCTTGAGGGTCACAGCAGCATGTAGGAGGGTACCTCTCGGGCCCAGGCCGGCTTGTCAGCAGGGTTAGCACCCCGGCTATAGTGGTACAGGGGTTTTTTGTCTCCTGGTGCCGGTGGCTGCTGCTGCTTCTGAAGCTGTTGCTGCTGCAGGGACTTGAGATAGGCATGCTCCTGCTGCAGCTGCCTCTGAAGCCGCTCTGACTGTCGCTGTTCCTCCAGTTGTTTTCGCTTGTATTCCTGGTACCATGGTGGGGGAAGGGAAAAGGAGATTCAGCACTGAAGAAGTAGTGGACTGGGGATGCCCTTATGAGGCTGGAGAGAACACAGGCTCTCTTCTTTCGACATGTCTAGAGAGGTTGTTCTCCCCTGCAGTCTCACTGGAACCTTTTCCCTGTCTCCATCTCCTATTCTAAGCAAAGAAGCCCTGAAGTCCACCCTACCACCCTTCCCAAAAGGAAATAAGGTAGTGGATGAAGGACCCCATTACCAGCAGCAGGGCCTGTTCCTGGAGCAGCTGTTGCTGAAGGATCTCAAGCTGTCGCTGCTCTTCCTCCAATTTATGTCGGATATACTCCTGGGGGGGAGGGGGCGGGGGCAGGGAAACAAGAGCAGGGGAGAAAAGAGAGGGAAACAAGAGGACAGGAGGTGGAGGGACAGGAAAGGAGAAAAAGAATACAGAGGAGAGAGGATATGTGTATGGAAGATGGGGGGGAAATAGGATAGTAAAGGTAATGTGATGGGGATGCAAGAAAACAGGAGCAGGGGATAAGAAGAAAGCAAACAGGCAGAAGGGGTCAGAATGGATGGGCAGGGAAGACATAGAGAATTTAGGAAAAGGAAACAGAGACAGGGAAGACGAGGGAGCCAAGGGTAAGGGGATGGTGGGGTGGTAGGAGAGAACACACAGAGAGAAAGAAAGAGATAGTGAAGCTAGAAAAAAGACAGAAGAACCTGGGGCGGGGTGGGGGGATGGGGGGGGACAGGAGAGGAGGTATGGGGAGCAGGGGAAGTGGACAGCAGAAGCCAGGGGTGGGAGGGTGCACAGGTATGTGCGTAGGGGGACCGTACCTGTTCTCGCTCTGCCTGACGGCGTTCCTCCTCCCTTCGAAGGGCTTGCATGTCCTCCAGTCGCTGCTGCTCCTTCTTCTCCTGCAGCTTTCGCTGCTCCCGATCTCGGCGTTGTTGCTGTAGGGGTTGGGGAGGAGAGGAAGAGATCAGCCAAGACTATATGAGGCTAGATACTGCCCACATCAACTTAGCTAAGCCAAATTATGGGAAGAGCCCTGATTTTCTTTTTCAGGGAACCCTCCAAGAATACTGGGAACTAATTCTAAACATTGATGGGGGGCAGATTTAGACTCACTTCTACAGAATTAATCCAAACACTGAGTGATCTCAGAGGGCTAAGATAGAGGGAATGCAAGCAATTATTTCCTTTCTTTTTGGGTTGAGGAGATAATGGTTATTCTTGGCAGGGGAGAAAACTTTAGTGTTAGACTTTTGTATCCTGATGACAGGCAATGCCCAAAATATCACTAATCAGGACACCTACAAAGACCACGTGAAAAAGGTTCTAAGATCAGGGAAAGCATTCTCTTTAAAGACACCAGGCACAAAAAAACGGGAGAACCACAGTAAAGCCTCATTAATCAGGTCCAGACTCATTTAGAATTTCTGATAAATAAGGCTCAACTTCTTGATCTCTAGGAAGAAAACATCTGCTACGAAAATCAATAGTGTTAGCCTGTGTGGACTTAAAAACTAGAACGAAAGCCACTTCTGCTTGCTTTGTGTGTCATCTGAAGGAATCCCGTATCTTTTCTAGCCCGTTTCCATGTCCATAAAATAAGAGGACTGAATTAGATGATCACTAAGGTTTCCTTCAGCCTTAAATTCTGATGATCCTAAAATGACTTAAGCCTATTTATTTAGAAGCAATTAATGTGATAATTACAAATGATCCTCAATAATTCTTTAAAAAGCACAAGTGGCAAGATCTCTCCTTGACTATTTTTTGCCATTAGTTTGTAACAGTGTATAGAACAAAATGTATTTTTTAAACACCAGCTTCTCACTAACTCAGACTTGCGTTTCCCCCAATTAGTCCAGATTGGTATGTGGACCAGACTATATGTTTTCACATCAGGAAAACAGACGCATTCAGGCAGGACTTCATTAAAGAGACAATTCCTCCAGACACCTGGATTCAAGTCCTTGCCATGACACTACTTGGGTGATCACAGTCAAATCACTTCACTTCTTCATGCACTAGTTTCCTCATCTGTCAAAAAACGGAGCAAAGACCTTTATAACCCTTTTTGTGTGCTGTGCAAATATAACTGTTATTCCCTAACTCCAGGGGCGCTAGTCTTGCTTTATTTCATCATCAGGACATTCCTGCCGAGCAGCTTCCAGGCTTTCTCAGTGGGTACGATTCTTGCTCATGCTCTTTCGTAGAGACTCCAAAAAAGCTCCATCCCACATGTGGGAGGTATCTCTCTAGATCTTACAGTTCACGGGTATAGAATTCTGGTTGTCCATTTGTCTGTCTTCCTTCACTCTCATCACATGATCTGTATAACTGGCCTAATTCCTTTTATCATCACATATTTTTCTTGGTGATATCTTTTAGGACATGGAATTATTACTAATATTAACAGTGGTAATGATAATTAAAGTACTATTAAGTGTTTACAGATCACTAATCACTTAATAAGACAATTGACTGCGATGGTTAGGAAGGGGCAAAGGGACACTAAGATATTAAAATGGAAGAAAATTATTGAGTGACAAACAGTGACACTGTCAATCAATGGAGAAATAGAATATGTATGATAAAAAAAGTCAATTTTTAAAAATTGAAGTGAGGTGCATCTGAAAGGGGTCTATATGACTCAGAATGCAGGTCACACCGCAATGAAGTCACTGGGGTCAGTAGGGAGGGAGATGAAACTAAGCATCTGCCAATTCTCTTTGTTAACGGAGAACAGTGGAAAAAAGAATCTTAAGAAATGAGGCAGTAATCTCCTTTTTGTAACCTGAGGTCCTACCCTTGCTACCTCTGCTTAACAATAGGAATGGGATCTAGATTTCAAATTCCACTCTTTGTCTCTGGAACAATTTCAGAGACTGAGACCCAAGGGAAAAAAATGCCCTTCCCCATAACTCAAGGAATAATAAGGCTGAACAATGGTAATTGATAATGAAGGAGCTGATCAGATACACTGGAGGGTGGGCTGTGGACTAAGTGGGGCACAAACAACCCAGCCCAAACGTCACTCCACTAGTTCTTCCATCCCAGGGCTTGGCCCCAACCTCCTCAACACGACGCCGCTCTTCCTTCTGCTCCTCAATCCGCTGTTGCCTTTGGTGCAGGAGGTGCTTGATGTGAGCTTCTGGGTCACGCTGTAGCTGCTGTTGCTGTTGCTGCTGCTGCTGCTGCTGCTGTTTCAGGGCCTCCGAGTTGCTCTTGTTTTCCTGCTGAAGACGGAGGAATTCTCGTCGGAGCGTTGATTCACCAGGCACATTCATGATTGAGCTGAGGAAAAAGGAAAGATGAAACTGGTCACAAACACACTCCTCTCCCTCTCTCCCCTTCATTACATGTCCCTCTCCTCTTGATCCCTCCTAATTTAAGAGCCTTCATCTCCTAGGACTCACTTCTTGCCTCTGAATCTTCATTCCAGTTAGTCAAATCTCTCTCTCTAGTCCTCAACCCTTCACCTTATACTCTAGTATTGTGCAGTGGAAAGAGCAAGGGACTTGGAGACAAAAGAATCATAAAATGGGTTTAAATCCAAGATCTTTGAGATATTAGCTTTGTGAGCCTGTTCATCCCCTTCTGTCCCATCTTGCTTCTCTCCTTCCAACTGCTATCAACTAATTCTTCCAGGAAGCTTTACTTGGTAACCCTTCCTCATAATGCACTCCACGTTCTCTCAGCACTTACGGATTTGCTTACATTTCTGCTCTATCAGCTTGCTAAGATTAGGGCTCCCCTATGGACTAAAAGACCACTGCCTCTCCCATTAACCTAAGGCATAACCCTTTCCCACTCTGCAGAGTTTACCTTGGTTCTCCTTCCTCTCCGTGGCTGTCATCTTCCTCTTCGCTGCCACTGTACTCATATTCTGTCTCCTCTGCAAGGGAGAAATCACTGCTGATTTCCTCAACTGACCCATGCAGTTCCCCTCACACTAACCTAGGAAGACCTGATGAGATCAAGATAAATGCTGGGCAAGATCAAAGGGAAACCATCTTTAGCTCTGCATTTGGCTGCTACCCTCTTCCACATAGAGGCCTCAAGTGTAGGACCAAGGCAAAAACCTGGGATATCATGGAGCTGAGTCAGCAGTTAGCCTGGGTTAGGTGTTAAGAATCCTATAAGATCACAGGGGTCTCTAGAAAGCTCATGATTGGGCATTCTTTTGAGTAGGAGGGAAGGAGGGAAGGAGCTAAGGACCACTGAGGAAAGAAAGCCCAGGGCTGCTCATGGTAGGGAACAAGATAATTGGACGCTGAAATTTTCCAGGGATAGCCCCATCCTTCACCCCCATTTCCCCTACTGACCCTTCTCGCCCCTTTTCTTTCGAGAACGGTCAATGTGGTCCTTAAGCTGAATTCGGACCTGTCGCTCTGTGGGCTGGTCACGGATGAAAGGGAATTTGAGAAGCTGTTCAGTGGGTGGGCGGCTCAGGTATGTTTTGATGAGACATGTATCAATGAAGTCAATGAATTTCTTAGACCTGAAAGTGTTTAAGAGATATATTGGGAAGGAATGGACCCTAAGACATCATCTTTGGGACAAAGGTTGACAAATCTGAATGAACAGTATCCTCAGGAACTTAAACACACTTTAACAAACTGCCTAATTTTTACTATTACTTTTCTAATTTAGTGCTTTAAGGTTTTCAAAGTACTCATGTTATCCCTTTCTTCATGGTATTACCCAGCTGTGGGACCCACTCTGCTAGTCACACTCTAGGGTTTGCTCAACTCTAAATATATAAAGAAGGAAGGGAGGTTCTAGTCTTATTTTCACACCCCTCCCCTGCTGAGCCCACATTTCCTAAAGGCACCTACCATTTCTTAGACTTCAGCTTCGGCGGGGGGTTCCGAGGGATGAGGAAGAGGGCACGCATGGGGTGCATGTCACACAGAGCTAGGGGAGTGAGAGGGACCACGAGTCCTCACACATCTCCCCTTCTATTCCTGTTCTAACAATTTAATAATCCCCTCCCAGCATGCTTATCTTTGGATTCAGTTGGGTTAGCCTCCCTTCAGTCCCTCCCACCTAAAACTTCCCTCCTCCCACTAGCTACTGCCCTGCCCCTACTTCCAACCCCATTACTCACGGGGGGCTCCTTCTGCCATCTCAATAGCTGTGATTCCTAGAGACCATATGTCACTCTGCAAAGGAAAGGCCAAAATTATGAAGGCTTCCTATTCTGTGACATCCCCCCACCTTGACACACGTATTTTTAGGTCTTTGCACATTTATTTATTTCTAGGGCCCCTCTTTTCAACCTTACTACCATTCATTTCTTGACCCACTCTCTTCTCCAATCTATATTCTCTTTCCTCTCTCCATAAGTCCTGTACCTCAGTCTGTCCAATCCCACCCAATCCGCCCAATCGCCACCGACCTCAATAGTTCTCTTCTCAATTCCAGTCCCATTATTCCCCTCTCCCGGCTACCGCCCCCACCCTTCAGTTTATTCTTTTCCCTAAGGCCTCCAGCTAGTACCCTGTAGTCATAGGTGGCATCAGGATTCTCATCACAGGCGATAACCTCTGGGGCCATCCAGTAGGGGGTACCAATGAATGTATTCCGCCTGCCCACTGTTCGATCCAGCTGGGCACTCACCCCAAAGTCCACTAGGAAGAGGTAAGGAGAGGGAGTAACTGTAATACAACATCCTGTGTGCCTGACCTTGTCTTAAATACTGTACTCTACACTTTATCTGCTTTCTAAGGAGAGGCTCTGGGGTATCTAGGAAAACATTGGGGAGGGGGACATGAAACAGCTTTGGCTGAAAGGATTACTCATTATGTCCAACTTCTTCAAATGGAAGAACAGACATTGGTAGTAAAGGGAAGATGTAAAGAAGAAAGAGTAGAGGGCCTGGGCTTCTAAAGGACATTGATGGTTTGCCTCAGAACAGAGGAGGAAGAGGAAGACTTTATGATTCTTCTTCAAATAAGAAAGGAACTATCCTACTAGCCTGTCCTAAGACGAGGGAAGGACATCTACCACCTGCCTCAGGAGAGATTTCCATACCTAGCTTAACCTCCGCATTCTCTGTCAGCAGCACATTTTGGCCTTTGATATCTCGATGGATCACTTTGTGGGCATGGAGGTGGGCCAGCCCCTGGAGAGGGTAGAGGGGGAAAAGTGAGCTTTTGGTGCTGGTGAGGGCCAAGGAAGGAGAGGGACTGAGCAGACAGCAGGTGGTAAAGTAAACAGCGAGAAGACAAGCTTAGGTAGAACTGAGTGTACAGGCTGGATATTCTCTACCTTAGAGAATGACAATTAAGCCAAACTTGTGGGAAATATGGGGGGGACGGGGATGCTGGGACAGGAAAACACTTTTATGTCACTTGTAGTTGGCAGGTTAGAAGTACAGCAGAGCTGGAACTCTGGAAAAGAATGGGATGACCCCTTGGGTAGAGGAGCCGTCTCTCTCTCACCAGAATAGGAACCCCCCCTTCTTAGTGCTTATTCTAGAACCCTGCCCACAGAGGTGCTCAGGGAAAGGGAAGTATAGACTGGGATAGTAGATAGGTTGTGGGGGGAAAAAGAAAGGGAGGGCACTGTCTCTCACCCTGAGGATCTCCCTGCAAATGTAGGCGATACAATCTTCCTTCAGAGCATTTCCTTTAGTGTTCTTCACCAGATCTGTCACAGAACCAGCACCACAGAACTCCATAACCAGCTACAGACCCAGGAAGGAGCAAGCAGAAGGATGAGTCATTAATCAGGTAGATCCTCTCCTTTAACAATCAGGGAAGGACACAAGGCTCAGTTAGCCACTCTAGACCCTACTCAGGTCTTGGGGCTAGATGATAACCTGGGTTGGAGACCATCATCAGGTAATACGGGGAGCTCTGTGCCAGCAGCAATCTATTGAGCAGTTTCTTGGGATCAGGAAAGAAAGGACTAGAGGACAGGGAGAGGAAGAAGGTGAGAAAACAATTAGGGAGAGCAACTAGACAATCTGAGTCCAGAGGCAAGAAATTCAACTGGAAAATGATGGCATAGAACAGGCCTAAATAATAGCAAATTGTTTCAACTAAATGGGAAACAAATAAGTCAGTGAGTCAAGGAATATCTATCCTAAGAGAAATTTCAATATATTCAGCCAGAGGAAGGACCGTTAATTCATAATCATAGAGATCTTGGAGGCCTAGAACTGAGCAGGAATATCCTCTATAACAGAGGTGTCAAATGCCCCTCAAATCAGATTAAAATGTAACTGGGAAATGTTTAACAAAGTAAATAAGACTACAGTAAAACACAGATAATGTTTGTTAATTTGTGATTAGAAAGTCACAAGTCAATACTGGACCTGGAGGGATCCATTTCTACCTGACTTTGATACCATTCACTGAATTGCCATCCAGCCTCTACTTGAACCCCTCCTGGGAGGGAAACTGACTACTCTGACAGACAGGTCATTCGACTCTTGGATAGTTCTAATTGTTAGTTAGTTTCTTCTGACATCAAGTCTCTTGGCAACTTCACTTACTGCTCCTAGCAGAAGTCCCTAAATACAACAGCCAGTGCAGCAATGGAATCAATGACTCCTGCGCTATTAGCACTATATTCTAACCTCTTGAGTTAACCAGTCTTAACTCATCCAACACAATTCAATAAACACCTGTGCAGTGCAGAGCCCTGCATCAGGGAAGATAAAAGGTCAAACACAGTTCCTGTGCTTGTGGAGCATAAAGACTAGTAGAGGAATATGATATATACACAGATCATATAATACAAAATGGCAAATGCATTAAACAAGATGCAACCAAAGTGTGAGATCTAAGGCGTAGAGGTTGTAGATTAAAAGTAAGAAAGGGATAAAATGAGCTCTGGGAATTTCCCCCTAGGAATAAGGTAGAAAGGACTTGATGGCAGGCAGGGAGTTCATCTCTCTTTCCAAGAGCCACAGGATTTTAAAAAAATGTTATAATTTAAAAAAAAAATTATCAAGCATTTATTTTTCACCCTCCCACATCTTCTCCATTAGAAAAAAGAATAAATACAAAACCGTTATTATATAAGCACCATCAAACAAAACAAATTCTCACAGTGATCAAAATGTATTATTTCTTATTTTCTCATATTAGTCTGTCATCTCTTTGTCAGGAGGTGGGCAGTATTCTTCATCAGTCTTCTGGAATCATGGTTGATCATTACAGTACTCAGATTCTTAAATCTTTAAGAATTCTTTTTTTTTTTAAACAATACTGATTTTATTGTGCTCTTAGTACTGCTCATTTCACAGTTCATACAAGTCCTCTTAGGTTTCTTCAAAGCTGTCCCTTCATTTTTTAGAACCCATAGTATTTCACTACATTCATATTCCATAACTTTAGCCATTCTCCAACTTATGAGTAATTCCTTAGTTTCCAGTTCTTTGACACTACAAAAAGGGCTACTATAAATATTTTTATGAATATAGGACCTTTTCCTCTTTGTTTTACCTCTTTGGGATATAGGGATATATTCAATGGAATAGCTGGGCCAAAGAGCACGCACAGTTTAATTAACTTCTAGGGTTTTTTTACTTTGCTGTTTATTATGATGTACATAGTAATATTAGACATATAGTATAGTAACATCTTTCTATTAGGTATGTCATGTTTTGCTGTTTATATGTGTAACAATAAACATGAACTTTTCCAATATAAAAAAAAAACTTCTAGGGTACAATTCCAAACTGATTCCAAAATAGCTTGACTATAATGCACTTCCACCAATAGTGCATCACTGTGCCTGATTTCCCAAAGCCTCTCTCTTCTTGTTGGCTTTGCCAATCTGATAGCTATGAGGTGGACCCTCAAAGTTACTTTAATTTGCAATTCTTTATTAATAACTTGAGGGCAGCTAGGTGGCAAAGTAGAGCACTGGCCCTGCAGTCAGGAGGACCTGCGTTCAAATCCAGCCTCAAACATATAACACTAGCTGTGTGATTCTGAGAGGCAAGTCACTTAACCCCAACTGCCTCACCAAATATTAATAACTTGGAGCATAGATACAGTTTCTTCCCTTGAGAACTGCTTGTTCATAGACTTTGAGCACTTATCAGGTAGAGAATGGCTCATATTCTTGAATCAGTTCTTTACACGTTTTGGATATGAGAACTTTATCAGAGAAACCTGATGCAAAGATGTTCCCCAGTTAATTGTTTCCCTTCTAGTCTTACCTGCACTGGATTGGTTTGTGCAAAAACATTTCACTTTTAGGTAATCAGAATTGATTCCACTTCCACAGTCTCTCACATTCATTCACTCCTTTGCATCACCAGTATCTATAAGAATACCTTGAAGGTGTTTAATAAAGTATTTAATAAATATTTGTTCAACATCTAAACTTCTGGATACATTCTAGGTTCATGCTCTATAATATGCCAGAAAAGAGCATCAAATGAAGTTCAATGTCAAGTTCTGCTTCTCCTGCCTACATTAATTTCTTCCTTCTGGGAACTCTTATAGCATTTAGGTAATGAACATTTATTACATGTACTGTCTAAACTAACTAATCATCTTTATGCTTTATCTTCTCCTTGACAACAAAGAGCAAATCTTACACAAGGAAAAGATATACAACTGATCAAATATTTGACAAAAGATGGCAGGGCCTACCAGACAAGGGAAAACAAAACTCTGAATCTCTTAGTATGATCACCTCTTCTCCTTGCCTCCCCTCCACAAGGACTGGAGAGCTGTGACTTGGTTTAGGCAAGATGAGTAGGCCAGGGGCAGCTAGATGGATAGAGCTCCTGCCTTGGAGTCAGGAGGACCTGAATTCAAATCCAGCCTCAGACACTTGACACTTACTAGGCTGTGTGACCCTGGGCAAGTCATTTAATCCTGACAGCCTCACCAAAAAAGAAAAAAAAAAAAGAAGAGTTAGCCAAAGGCCTCTTATGAATATTCTGAATGATATTATAAACTCTTAAAAGAGCTGAGTATCACTATACTTGGGTCCCAAATCCCAGTTGTGCCAATTATTAGAATGTAACTACTTTATGATAGTGCCGGAAACGGGTGTGGTGGGGGTGGATCAGGGAAGGTAAAACAATGGGAATTTTGTTTAAGTCCTTTCTGCTAAAATGGAAGATGGATGGGGGATGACCCTGCCCCTTCCCCTTCAGAGTCTTTTTACTTTGCAAAGATTGTTAATTAGTGTTTATCAAATTCCCATTAGTGTACCTACTGCATACTTAGAAGTATAGATCTTGTCATGTTACTGCTTACTACAGAGTGTACTGTAGGACTGCTTACTACAGTTCATTTGCTAGTAATGTCCAATAGGAACCACTTGACCTTTCTATCTCATACTACCTCCATCTTCTGTACTACATATTTCAGCTAAATGGGATTACTAGCTCTCCCCCAAACACATTCTATGCTTTTCTGCTTCAGGGTTTTTGTTCATGCTATTCCATATGCTTGGAATGTGAGTGGAAACCATGGTGAATGTGGAGTCCTAAGACTTGAATTTAAATCCTGACTGTTCCTTGTACCTCTGTGACCTTAGACAAGTCACTCAGCTCTCTGGACCTTGGTTTTCTTATAAATTAAGGGCTCCAAACCAGGTGGCCTTGAAGGCTTCTAGCTCTCTTGGTTTCCTTCCCCACTCCAGAACCCTTACCCATTCTCTAAGGTAAGATGCAAAAGCTGGCTCTTTGAGGCAGCCTTTCCCCAGGCATACAAGCCAGGACCAACCTCCCTGGCATATGTTACATACTACAGGGATAGCTGTATGTGCTTCTTCTCTCCCAGCCACCCAGAATGGGACTCTTTGTGCAGTAGGTAACTAACAGACATTTGCTGAACTGAATTAAGAATGATGCAAATTAAAAAGCCCCTAACCTCAAATCATTGTGCTCAAAGGGACCGTAGGGAGACAACTCTTCATTTTAAAGTGAAGAAACTGAAGCCCTAGGAAAACAAAGTGTCTGGAGGCACATTCTGGTAATCAGAAGAACTGAGACTGAGACCCAAGTAGGTGATACTCAGTCCTTCAAGAGCTTATAATAGTTAGAAAGACACACACATACCAAAACAAAGACCAAAAACAATATAATCCATGTACTAAATATAATTCCAGGATGTTCCACAGACCATATACAGTATCTGGTTTTGGAGAAGGGAAAAACTAGCTGAGCTGAGTGATGGGGAGAAAAGAATAGACTCCAGATTCTTTCACTTAGCTTGGTATAGAAAAAGTGTGTTCAGAAGTGTGGTCTGAAGAGTTTGGTTTGGGGGTTTGGCTTACCCAGAGCTGGTCATCATTTCCAGGGGGGCTTTTTTTGACAAAGGCTCCATAGTATGTTGCAATGTTGCGGTGGTGGGAATATTTTTTCAGCATATTGATTTCTTGTTTGATCTCTTCCTCTTCATCCTAATTGAAGTAAAAGAAAATGAATGCTAGAGTTTTCTCCAATTTCCCTCCCCCACCCCCTCCCCCCCACTATCCTGACCTCTTTACCTCTGTGACATCCATGACCTTGATGGCAGCCAGCTGCCCTGTCTTCACATGACGACCCTGGGGGACAAAGAAACATGAATGATCTAGGTATTACTTAGAGGGTTAGGGTCAAGGTTGACTATTAGCACAAAGCTAATAGTTAAGGTTATGCAGCTGATTCCCATATGGGTCACTTAGTTTTGAAAGAAAAGGTATTATCATCTAATTACTAGTTATAAATGGGACAAGAAACGGTAGATGTGAGGCTCCTTTCTTCAACTTCAGGTAAAAGAAGTATGAGGACACTTACCTTTTGGAATAATGCGACGTCTGAGGTAGAGGAACGAACAAGACCCTATGCCTCAAGATGTAGGAAGCTGAGAGGGACAATATGCAGGGGAGGTAAAGGGCATCGTGCCTCACCCTCTTCTGTTGCTGTCCAAATGCTTTCTACTCCACTGCAGCAAGACCATGTGTAAGGCCTTGACTTGTTTCCTGCATCCCTCTCTCTAGCCTAGTCTGTGAGACATCTTTCCAAACTTTTATTGTTGGAGTGGGGACAAGAACAAAAGGCAGAGCTGAAATGCTCTAGAAATGACAAAAGGGACACAGATAAAGATACCAAGGAAAGACACTGCTGCCTTTATAGATGGGGTCCCACCATTCTTCCTGCTCCCCTTGCCTTGCCTCCAGCCAAGCATCCTGAAGTAAACCTTCCACGGCTCTTGCAGGGGAAACTGAGTGTCTGAAGCTTCCCAAAGAGGAAAGCAGAGTGAGACAGCCCTCACAGGCCTAGACACAAGAACTGCTAGTCCCACAGGTTATTTTTACTCTCAGCCATGATTTAAGACCCTAGCACACAGCAGTAGGGAGAATATAGAAATTCTATTTCTATAGCAACAAAAAAGAACTTTTGGGAAGGGGTGTGTGCACACCTCCTTAAACCTACAAGGAAAATATGATATATACGTATGGGGAGAGAGGTGCAGGAGAGATGTAGGTGGTCCCAGATGATCCAAAAACGCATACTCTCAGATCCAGAACTTCCTTCCCCACATGACATCACAGTCTCTATAAGCACCACTGGTGGCATCCCCAGTTTGGTGAATGTGAAAACTAAAACTCGGAGAGGTGAAAATGAAAACATCTTCTAGGTGACACAACTAGTAAACGGTAGAGTCAGAACTCAAAATCAGGTCTTCTGAGTTCAAGTCCACGATACGGGCTAGATCTTTTTTTTTTCTGAAGGATCATGCCTTAAACCCAAATCACTCTGGCTCTCATCGACTGACCAACAACGGGTCCCAGGCCAAGCGCCACTTGGTCACTGTTTGGACTCTGATCAGCTCAGAGTGAATGCAAATAGCAATTGTTTCTGTTTTGGCCAGAAATCCTGAGGGTCTTCCTCTCCTAGATTGATTTTTTTTTTTGGACTAGGTAAAAGAGGCCATTCTCTGCCTCATTTCTTACCTAACCTAAATCACTGAATGGGTATTACCTCAGTCAAAATGAGACCTGTTAAAGACTTTAGCTTAAAAAGGCCAAGGTTTCCTACTTCATATGCAGGGCCATCTCCAGTCTATCTGATCTATATCTTGCCACTGGACCCAGATGGCTCTGGAGGAGAAAGTGAGGCTGGTGACTTTACACAGCCCTGCCTCACTTAAATCCAATTCACTTGTATGTCACGTCATCGCCTCCCTGATGTATGGTCCACTTTAAGAACAAAGGACAAACAACAACAATAACAGCTTTCTCCTCTACCATGTTATTCCTCAATTAAACTGATATGCTATCTTTTATGTTAGGGAGGCAGAATGTTGGATTCCAGTTATTTTTCTTAGTGAAAATGTGTTTACAGGGAGCTATCTACTCTCATTGGTCTCTCTTGTGTCCATTATTATATGAATAATGGAGATATCAGTCTATAAAAACACCGTTTCTGTGGGAGGAATTAAAGTAACTTATGTAGAGAATCAAACCTAAAACAAATTCTGAGCGCATGCACGTATGCGCACGTGCACACACCCACCCCCACCCCCCAATCTTCACTTCCAAACACAATAACTGTTTCCTCTCTGGGCCTCAGAGTTTCCTTATCTCTAAAATAAGAGGATTGGGTTAGATGATCTCTAAGGTCCCATCCAGCTCTTGTGAACACATCCCTCTCCTCCCCAGTTCTAGTTCTGGATTTGCTCTCTTTTCCATCATGGCACAACCTGCCCACTTCCAGGCCTGTTTCCAATATATGTCAGTACAGGATCTGTACTAACCTTATCTGAGGAGAGAGGCCAGCAAAAAGCTGTCCCCTTTCCCCAGTCTCTTTTCTTTTTTTCCTCTGATCCCCACCGTTCTTCCTTTTCCCAAGCCCCTCCAATTCATGTGTTTTACACATCAATTTTCTCAAGTCTTTAGGAAAAGGTCCCATTTTCTTTACAGTTTTTCTGAAGAGTACTCTAAAGTCTTACCTTATACACTTGTCCATAGGTCCCATTGCCGACCACTTCTACCAGCTCAAAGATCCCTGCAGGATCCTGGAGGAGCAGGGGAATGGGAGGAGGAAGACAGAAAGAAATATTAGAACTAAAGGTACATAGATTAAGGTTTAAGGTTGCGTAAAGCTGAAAGTATGTCCAATCTGGGCATGAGACTGACAATTCCCAGAGTTGGTGGGGTGGAGGGAGGGGACAATACGCAGCTGCCAGAATAATCATCTGGGTCTGGATGGGTCTGACCATGCTACTTTTTTTTTTTAACTCAAAAACAATCAATAGTCTCTTACTGACTTTAGGAGAAAACACAAACTTCTTAGAATCTGGCATTTAGAGTCTGCCACAATCTGGCTTCAGCCTACCTTTATCTTTCCAGCCTTATTTAGTATTATTCCCTTTCAAATACTATAATCTAGCTAAACTGGGCTTCAGTTTTGCACAATGAACATGCCATCCTCCACCTGTATGTATCCTCACAGGCCATTCTCCTTTGCCTAGAATGTACTCTCCTCTTTATTAAAATGATTCCATTCCTCAGCTCAAGTATAATCTCTTCTGTGAAGCCATTCCTGATTCTCCCAGCTGAAGATAACTTCATATTTTTGCAGAACACATTGTCTAGTATGTCTCCTTTATCCTAATCATGCTCTATGTTGTATTATACTTATCTGTGTATGGGTTGTATCTTTGTTGTACCCAAGTTGGAATGTAAGCACTATGAAGCCAAGGACTATGACTGGCTATATAATTTTCATCTTTGTACCCCCAACCCTTAGCACAATGTCTGGCACAAAGAAGGCACTTAATAAGTATTTTTCAAAATTGAAATGATTTGGGGCAGCTAGCTGGCGCGGTAGATAGAGCACCGGCCCTGGATTCAGGAGGACCTGAGTTCAAATCTAGCCTCAGACACATAAGACTTACTAGCTGTGTGACCCTGGGCAAGTCACTTAACCCCATTGCCTAAAATAACAACAACAACAACAACAACAAATTGAAATGAATTTATCCAAGGGCTAATGGAATATAGGAACTACTGGTGATTAGTGATTCTCCTATGCTGCTCTGAAAACTACCCCAGTGCCCTTGTGTGATTTAAGAAGACAGAAATGTTGAGAATATCCCTTAGCAGTCTTTTCTAAAACAATATCAATAACAACACAAGTGTTAATGATGCATTCTGTGTTTATATCACATTAATTTTCAGTCTATGACTTCTCTCTTTCCTATCCAATAAGCCTTTACTTGTAACAAAGATTAAAACCATGGCAAGTTACTTAACTTTTTTCAGCCTCAGTTTCTTCATCTGCAAAATGGACAAAGCACCTACCTCTCAGAATTGTCCTGAAAGGATCAAATGAGATAACAAGCATTTATTAAGTGCCTTCTACATGCCAGGTACTGAACTAGGTGATGGGGATATTGTGACAAAAAGTGAAATTTTCTTTAATCGCAAGGAGCTGTCCCTCTATGAAGGAAGATGACATATGCACACAAACCTATACAAGGCAGCTGGGGAGAAAGGCTACTGAGAAAGGGGTGAAAATCAAGAAAGGTTTCCTGTAGAAGTTGGTGTTGAGCTGAGTCTTGAGAGAAGTAAGGGAGTCCATGAAGCCAAAGGGGAAGGTGGTGCCCTCCGAATCCAGGGGCCAGCCTGTGTAAAGGCAGAGGCAGATCCTGGAGAAGGGAAAGGGGAGATGGGCAGGGAGACAAATCAGGATTACTGTCCAACAAAAGATGATGCAGAACAAAGGGGATATATGAATAGAGAGAAAAGGACATATTCAGGAAATGTCACAAACTGCAAGATTCAGGATCTAGTGTGAGGGAGCAGGAGTAGTTAAAGACAATGCTGATATCGTGAGCTTGGGCTACTCTAAAGTCATTTCCAAATGGCTCATAGATATCTTGAACTGAAGGTCCCCAAAATATCTTAAATGCTATTGCTGTTCAGTAGTGTACCACTCTCTGTGACCCCATTTTGGGGTTTTCTTGGCAAAAGATACTGGAACAATTTGCTATTTCCTTCTCCAGATCATTTTATAGAAGAGGAACTGAGACAAACAGAGTTAAGGGACATGCCCAAGGTCACACAGCTGTCTGAAGCCAGATTTGACCTCATGAAGATGTCTTCCTGATTCCAAGCCCAATGCTCTATCCACTGTGCCAATGTATCATATCTAAACCCAAATTCATTATCTCCTCCCCTCCTAATTCTCCTATTCCTGCCAAGGGTGTCACCAGCTTTCAGACTGATCCAGGCTTGAAAACTCAGTGTCATCCTCGACTTTTCACTCTTTCACTGCCTACAACCAATCTGTTGCCAAATCCTATCAATTCTACCTTCACAGCATCTCTCCCACAGACACACATCCCATCAAATTGTGGGCTATGAGGGAAAGTACAACCATTATTGAGAAATGGTAGTGGGGAAAGCAGGGTTATCAGCAAACTCTCAGTTCTGAATGTTAGAAGATGGAAGGATGAATATGAGAAAGGAAGAGATTTAATAAGAAAGGAAATTTGTTAATTATGAAGCAGGGGTTCTGGAGGACACAGTGGAAAAGGCAGGCAGATCTAAAGTGGGACATGGGAGGACCAGGGTAGGGTTTCGATAGATGAAAGTTAAGGGAATGGGCAATTGGAGATCAACTGGAGATGAGGAATGAAGTTTACAAAGCAGCAGTGGGAAGGCTTTTGAATCACTGGAATGAGGAGAGTATAAGGACCATTGAGGGGCAATCCCTCCTAAAGGAAGAATGAGATCAGATTGTTCAAGTTCTAGGCACATGGTGATGTATCCTGTGAGGTCCACTTCATATGGAAGCCTGTTGAAGAAAGCTCTGGGGGACAGAAGACATAAGGGATTTTGTCCTGGGGTGGGAAGGGACACTGGAGAAAACCATAAAGGCCATGGAAACTGGTAGGCAGAGTCCTGACCCTTTTGAAAGACAAGGTGAGCTTTTTTGATACCAGGCTTTCTTTTCTGCTTCATCCAGAGGGTGAAGATCCCAGTTCACCTAAAGCAAGGACTCCATAAACTGAATCAGTGAGAGGGGAAGGACTTTTCTTTTTTGCTGCCTTTCTTTTACCGTAATTCTGAGAAACAGACTGGGGCTGGGGGATATGTTTGTTGCTGTTCTGTGTTGTTTGTGTCAGTTTCATGTACTAGGTGATCCCCAGTGGGAACAGAAGAGTCATGATTGTCTGAGCCAAGACTGCAGGTGGGATGGTGCAGCCAGCCACCCTGCCATGGAAGCCCTGAGAAACCAATGTCTGAGACTCAAACCCTAGGGGGATTTTGGACTAAGAACTGTGCTCTACAGGAACTGAACTAAACTATGAATCTTCTTCTCACCAGAGACTGAGGTGGTACAAGGAGAAAGAACTATTCCTCCCATGTATGGGGGAGTATCTCCATGGCAGTTGGGGTTTAAGCCATGGTGATCTTATTCCTTTGTCAAAGCTAATATGTAAATATTCCTCTGTCAAAGCCAACATGATTATTGGGGTTAAATTGAACTCAGGTGCTAGGAAGCCCAAATGCACTTGAAGGAATACTATCAGAAGGGGCTGAAGCTATTTGCAGAGAGCTTAGACAACCCTCAATCCCCTTAATGGAACCAGAGAACCCTGGAGGAGGAGTGAAATCTAACCTACCTGGCCTTCAGGCAGTGAGGGTAAGGGTGGTAAAGCCTCTTCTGGAATAAATTGGGTCCTTTGCTTTTGCAGGAATTTCTAGATTCTATGCTTGGTACTTTTGAATTCTGAGATACCCTAGACTGTGTAATCCTAGAGAAATTTGGCAACTTTTTCTAGGCTATAAATATACAGTTGATTTTTCCCCCCTGGTGAGTGTTCCCTCACAAGTTCATTGGTGTGATTTTCAAAATTTTTCATTTGTTGAAAGAGGGAGAAGTAATGGAAACAGCATCAGATATTATATTCTTGGGCTCAAAGATCACTGTAGATGGCAACTGCAGCCATGAAATTAAAAGACACTTGCTCCTTGGAAGGAAAGCTATGGAAAATCTGGACAGTATACTAAAAAGCAGCGACATCATCTTGCTGACAAAAATCCATATAGCCAAAGCAATGGTTTTTCCAGTAGGAATGTATGATTGTGAGAGTTGCATTGTAAGAAAAGCTGAGCACCGAAGAATCAACACTTTCAAATTGTAGTGCTGGAGAAGACTTTTGGACAGCAAAGTGATCAGAGCAGTCAATACTTAAAGAAATTAATTCAGGCTATACACTGGAGGGTCAAATACCAAAGCTAAAGCTGAAATACTTTGGCCACATAATTAGAAGACAAGACTCACTGGAAAAGGGAATTGGGAAAGACTGAAGGCAAAAGGAAAAGAGGATGGCAGGGGATGAGATGGACAGATAATATCATGGAAACACAAACATGAACTTGGACAGACTTTGAGAGACAGTGGGGGCAGCACCGGCCCTGGAGTCAGGAGGATCTGAGTTCAAATCCAGCCTCAGACACATAACACTTTCTAGCTGTGTGACTCTGGGCAAGTCACTTAACCCCATTGCCTAACCAAAAAAAAAGAGAGAGAGAGAGAGAGAGAGAGAGAGAGAGAGAGAGAGAGAGAGAGAGAGAGACAGACAGACAGACAGACACAGTGGAAGGTAGAAGGGCCTGGAGTACTATGGTCCAGGAGGTCACAAAGAATCAGATATGATTGAATGACAAACAAGGATAGGTATACATAATAATATGTTCTATATTATTGAGTCCTGTATAAATATAGGTATTAAGTTATCTGTGATAAATTTGGAATCACTAGATTGCTCTGTCTAGTAGAAATTTTCATATTGTTCTTTTCGCATTTAAGCAGATTTCTATTGCTTACCTTTGGTGAAAGCAAAATGCCATAAACTTCTTTTTTGAGACTTTCTTTTTTGGTAGCTAGGTATTGGGGTTAAGTGACTTGCCCACAGTCACACAGCTAGTGAGTGTTATGTGTCTGAGGCCGCATTTGAACTCAGGTCCTCCTGACTCCAGGGCCAGTGCTCTATCCACTGCG